GGAAATTGGCTACCATCAGTTTCCTACCCTTGTATGATGTTTGGATCATCCTTAAGATTTCAGTTCAGAGCTTTCACTCCAATAATATTGACTTCACCATAGACCCCAAATTTATCTTAAGATGCATACTGCTTAAAGTAAAATATTTTCTAAGCAGAATAAATGACTGCAAATAGAGATAAATGAGCCAAAAAGAACTTGCCATTGATTAGGATAACCACTAAGTACTGCTGCTTGCTGGCATAATCTTTGAGAAGTCAATAATAGAAAACAGAAACTCATAACAACACTTGTCTGAAGTATTGCATTCAAAATTCCATTTCCATTTTCTTTCAAACTCTTTTGGAAAAGGTAATCACTTTCAAATCCTCACAGAATTGGGAAAGCACATCCTCCTATTCTCTACTTTTTACTAATGCATTGATTTTGTTGTCAAACGCTTAAAACTGCACATGTTTGGAATGCATAAAGGTAATTGTATAGGCTGAGGACTGGGTGCCAAATTACAGTGTGAAACAATGTCAAAATTTAGGCATAGGTTACTTAAGACTTTTCTTTTAAACACCATTTTCAAATTTTCTCAATCTTACATGACAACTGCACAAAAGCTCCATCAAAATTCTCCACTATTCATTAAACTATTCTATCTCGCATGAAATGTACCTCATGAATTTGACTGAATTTACTCTCAGAAATGGCTTTAAACTGCCATTTTAGTGCATTAATGCTCAATGTCATATTTCATCTTTTTCTTTTACAATCTTTCAATTTTTCATGGGATATGGGCATTGTTGGCCAGGCCAGCATTTGTTGCTCATCCCTAGTTGCGTTTGAACTAAGTTGTTTGCTAAACCATTTCAGGGGGTCAACCACATTGCTGTGGATCTCCAACCACATTTGGAAGAACCGGTAGCAGTTTTCCTTCCATAAAGGACATTAGTGAATCAGGTGGGGTTTTATGACAATCAAAAGTTTCCTGGTTAATATTACTGATGTTAGCAAATAGACCATGGTTCATCTTTACCTTAACACCACATTCCTGCCTTTCTTCCATTTCCTCTGTTACCCCTACCCAATAAAGGACTTCCTCAAAAACCCAGTTTTTAAATTTTTGAAAACATAAAAGCATTTTTGGGAAGACAGTTGAAGATTTCTACATCATGATATCACCACTTAATGATCAATACTTAATTTGAAAGTTAGGTCCCTTTGTTCTAGACTCCCCTACTTGAAATCATTTTTCTGTATCTATCTCATTAACTCCTTTTATCATTTCAAACACCTCTGCTGAGTTGCACATTAATTTTCTATATTCAGGGGAATACAAATCGAATCTATGCAACCAGCCTTCATATTTATAGTGCCATAAAGTCAATCCAGCTCATCCATGTTGGCCAGACATCCCAATCTGACCTAGTCCCATTTGCCAGCATTTGGCCCATACCCCTCTAAACCCTTTTTATTCATTTACCCACCCAGACGCCTTTTAAATGTTACAATTGCATTTCTTTCACAAATGAGAGAAAGCTGGAGAAACTCAGCAGGTCTGGCAGCATCTGCGAACAGAGCAACAGAGTTAACATGTTGTGTCCGCGATGAGTCTTCATACTGAAGATCTGCTGAGTTTCTCTAACATTCTCTGTGTTTATTTCAAATTTCCAATATCCACAGTAGTTTATTTTCATATTTCTTTTAGCTTGTAACAATCTGGTACTGATCCAGAATCGATTGTTCTCTGGGACTGAAATTCCAGAAGATGCTGCGCAACTTCCACAGCACAGCGTTACGAATTAATTGTGTGAAATCTTTGATAGTTTCAGGATTACCAACACTTGCAAAGTATGTTGGTGACAGAGAGACGGTTAGACAAAGCCAAAGGCAGGGGCTCCTGAATCAGATAGTCATGCTGTTCAGGCTGATATGGCAAGCACTCTAGATCCGTGTATAATTTAATATCAGATATTTAAAAATATTTGGCAGGTTGGCTATTGTGCTTTACTTCCCTTTATTCTTTTACGCAATACAGATATGACCATAATTTATTCTCTATCCTAATAGCCCTTGAACTGAATGCATTGCTAGGCTATTTCAGATGTAGTTAAGAGTCAACCACATTGTTATGGATCTCCAGTTACACGTAAACCAGACCAGGTAAGGATGGCAGGTTTCCTTTCCTTAAGGGTATTAGTGAATCAAATGGGTTTGAACAACATTCAACAAAAGTCTCATAGTCACTAATACTGATGCTGGCTTAATATTCTAAATTTTTTTCTGCTTTTTTGATTAATATTTGAGTTTTTTTTCATTGAATTTAAATTAGACTGGGTCTCTTAAATTTGACAGGATAGACAGTTTCCTCCCATCTCCTTACAGAAACCTATATTTTCGGAAACTTTGAATGCCTCATTATAACATTGGAACAATTTGAATTAATAATTGGAAAAATTGCCACAGTTGCATTTCCTTAAGTATGCTACATTCATTAACCTGTGCCTATTGACTGCTGTGCAACTTCGTGCTGTATGGTCAGTCCCATGATTTCAACATGGTGAGGTACATCAGCAGGGGACTAAAATCATGAATGGTTTACTCAGTGCTGGCCTGTGATGCTTAAAGGAGAAGAGTATTGTAACTGAAGTTGGTGCTAGGGATTGTGGTTGAAGGAAATCTAATTTGGAAATGAATGGTACAACAGGAGAAAGAGCAGGCTCCAAGATTTTTGGCCATGACACTGCACTGGAGAGCCTGGTGCAGAAGGAGGAGAGATGTATTTAACAATGTGGGCAAGGTGATACACACTCAGAAGTGGATATAACTTAAACCCTAGGATTCCATACGAGGAGTCAGGCCCTGAGCACCTTGATGCAGTGCAGCAAAACATTCACATAGGTACTCCAAGTCAGTGAATAGGTCTTCAAATGTCATCTCCTCATTATTGAAGCACTGATTTCAGACTCTACTGAAATCTCCATAGCCACATCACACAGCTCTTCATACCAGACAGGCTTCATAACAAACATGCATAGTTTCACATCAGCCTCTTTCATGGTAGAGATGGCAAAGGCTGGCATTAACAGGACAGATATCACTGAGAACAGAGTTTAGGCTGAACCCAGTAAAGATTGTGGATTCCATCCTTTCCAGCTTATGAGATTTTTTGACCTAACTCCAGATGGTAACAAGTTTTAATGATTGACTTCATTCTCACAACACATCAAAGTGGCGCATCTGATAGCTGTTAGCTCATCTTTCACTCCAGCACAAATAGCAGCCACTTAACTGCATCTGCAGCAGAAGATCAAATTGCTCTCATGCAAAGATAGGTTGCTGGCATGCAGGCTCAGACTACTGCCATCACTGTGATTGCAGTGCTCAAAGAGGGTATAACTGCAGTCCAGCACTCCTCCTCCAATAGGATTTCTGAGGCAATACTTGGGTGATTGGCATTGGCTGCATGTGGACCACTAACCTTCCTTAACAAGTCTACATTTATCCTCCCACCTCGCTACATGCAAGAATCCTTGCTGTACTTATCGGCAACCCATGCTTTTACACATGTAGCTGTTTGAGGTTGTTCTCCAAGGTCATATGCAGCACCCACCATTGACTTTCAACAGCCTTCCACCAGCCATACTGCAGTCGGTGGGACGGGCACAAATACTGGGACAGGGAAAGGCACTTTGAGATTAGGCACAACGGAAATAAGCAAGATGTGCAAGTTGAGTTTAGATTGTTAGCTAATGGAATCACATTAACAGAGTTCTTTACAAACACTGCGACATAAGGAGGATACTAAGGTTTGGGTCCTGTTTTAACGGTCTGTAAAGAGAGGTCTGGCAGGTATTGATTTCAAGTCAGAAATAATCGTAGGACAAGGGGGAAATGGGATGTGAAAAGGAAGATTAGGCATAAGGATACCAGCTAAAGCCTTACCAGTGGTCACACATTCAAAGATGTACTTCTGAAAATTACCAGAACCTTCAGTTCCATGGAAGTCTGAAGATGCAAGTTGCCTGTCCCCTCCAGTCAGCTCCTACTCTGTTGTTTGTGACTCAACTTATCCCGCAAGAGAGGAAAATGTCTGTCAGTGAGTGACACACACTTTGCCTGGATGGTGTAACTGCCAAGGTTGAAAAGCTTGCTGTGGAAGCCAGGAAATGAAGTTGTGGGTTTCTTTTTAAATTCACTAGTGGGACGTGGGCATTGCTGGTAGGCCAGCATTTATAGCTCATTTCCTGTTGCCCTCAATGCAGTGGTCGTGAGGTGCCTTCTTGAATGTCTGCAATCCATGTGCTGTAGGTAGACCCACAAAGTCATTAGGGAGGGAATGCAAGGATTTTGACCCAGCGACAGTGAAGGAATGGTGACATATTTCCAAATCAGGATGGTGAGTGCACGGAGGGGAACTTGCAGATGGTGGTGCTCCCATATGTCTGCTGCCCTTGCCCCTCTAGATTGAAGTGGTAGCACTAAATGTGTGACAATATAATGAAGCATACAGAGACCAAGTACAAGCCCTGATTGATAGAGCTTGTTGGCAGGCACGTGGTGGGAGTTTGGCTAATTCAATGGTGACTGGAGTTGGTGGTGCAGTTGATAGGTTATGACATTCAAAGATGCATTAGCTGACACTGGCCACTTATTTGACATCACTGAATTTCTTGTGGTATTGCACCCAGGTCCTTAGGGCTTGACTTTTGACAATGACATCCAAGGTTATTGCTTCCACTACTTTCTGATCTCATGTTGGTCTCCCTTCTGTTGTTGAGACTAGCCATAATTTATGTCCCAATTTTCTGTTCCATTTACGTAGATAGGGTGGAATTTTCAAAGCTGTAGGTCATGACAGGCCCACTTTAGTCTACAGTCAAAATGTAAAATTAGTCCCAAAGTGGTCATGAATGTTATAAAAATGCTATCATGTTCGCTATATTTAAACAAAAAACAGCCTACTAATACAGAGATTTAAATTTTTTAAAAATCTACAATCAAGGTCAATATAAAATCTTCACAATTCATTTATTTAAAACTCACCTTTACAACAGTAGTTTTCTTTCTTTGTTGTACATGTTGCAAAGATGACAATGCATGGCTTATTCCAGTTAAGTTACATGAACTGTAAACACTCATTATAAGGCACGGCAAGAAAAAAAATGGCACCTGAATTCTTTCACAAACTATATGGGCAACACAGACCGCAATCGAAACAATAAAAAGACGTACTTTAGGAAAAGAGAAGAAATGTCATTCTTTTCCATATATTAAATCTTCAAGCACAATAGTAAAAATACAATTGACATTGTTTCTTAAAGCCAACATGAAAGCTGTTGGTATAAATTTATAGTGTTTAGATGGAGGGTACTGTGCTCCCAATATTACACATTGCTCTGCAGCCATTGTTCTATTTCAGCCTTGTTGTTTTTTAGCCAGTCTATATTTGTCTGCACCGTTTCAAGGGCTTGTTTACGAGGCGTCTCTCCTGCTCCAGCGTTTGGATATTTTGCAAAGAAATCTTTCATCTTAAAATGAAAAAAAGCATAAATGTGGGTAAACTGAAATTACAGAATTTGTTAACCAAAGCGATAAACCTTCCCAGCGCCATCCACACAATAGAGATTCCCCAATCTTCACCTTCTACCCCCATCATCTCATACTCCAAAAGAAAAGTGGTAGAGAATGTGACAAATTGTTTTTAACTCAGGCCTTTTGTTCTTTCTTTTGGTCCTTCATTACTGGTCTCTATACTGGTTAAAACTTGTTACCATCTGTAGCTTTTCCTCATTCCCAAAGGTCAAACTGGAACATTAATTATGGACAGAGTACCGTGAGGGTGAATCAGCAAGGATTTGCAGATAGTGAGCATCCTGCCGATTTTAACCACGCACCCTCTATTATGAACGTGGGTGGGTAGTTGGTGGACTAGCCACTTGAACTACCATTGACCCTGTACCCAATAAAAACACCAGGAAACAGTGTGTAATGCCCAGCCCGTGTTTCGCTCTCCACTGATGCTGCCAAACCTGCCAAGTATCTCCAGTACTTTCTGCTTATAGTTCAGATTTCCAGCATCTGCAGTGTCAACTTTGTCGGAAAAAGATGGTTTTCCACACAGGCATTCATAGTTCTCCCTGTGACTGGCGAAAACATGTCGACCTCAACTATTTTGTGCTCCACATATTCATATGCATCATCTGCCAGTTGAAACAGGTTGTAAAACAACTGATGGACCCAAGTACCCAGTCTGCATTGTCAGTAGGTTTGATTTTATCAAGTTGATCGCAAAACAACTGAGGCAAGACTGCAAGTTGCAGACAACCCACCATCCTCCCTTTTGAACAACCATCTGAGCTTCCCAGCTTCCATGTCTCACTTTCCATATCTGTTCTGATCCTACCTTCTTGTCTACCCTCTGCCATTCATTTGATGACACATTCCAAAAATTACCATGACTAATGCCTATGAGTAGCGAGTACATAACTATCTATTAATGATATTTCTCTGATCGCATCTCGATGTGTTTTGATCTTGTTTCATATTTATCACGTGTTATGATTTGTAAACTTTGATGCAAAAATCAGAACAAAGTTAAAACAGCCTTCCTGCAGCTCACCTGCCACAAACTGAGCTCGGTGTTAAATGAACTGGTTATTCTTGAAACTAGACGTCCGAGATTTCTATCCGTAATTGTGTATCTGAAATTTGAACAAAATTTACATTAAATTTAAGGGACCTCAGAAATCTCCAACTTTTTCCTCAACTGAGGATTTGACACCAACATAATTGACAGGGCCTTTAGATGTGTCTGACCCATCTCCCATACTTCTGCCCTCACCCTTTCACTTCCCTCCTACAATACCAGTAGGTTTCCCCGGTCGTCACTTTCCACCCCACTGGCATCTGCATGCAAAGGGACTCTTTCTGTCACCTCCAGTCTGATGCCACCAGTAGACATATATTTCCCTCCCCTCCCTTGTCAGCATTCCACACAAACTGTTTCCTCCAGGACACCCTGATCCACTCCCAACACTTCCCCACACTCCCATGGCATATTCCCATGTAATTGCAGAAGGTGTAAAAGTTGCCCATTTACCTCCTCCCTCCTCACTATCCAAGGGTCCAGGTACACCATCCAGGTGAAGCAGCACTTTACCTGCACTTCACTCAATCTAGCCTACTGTATTCACTGCTCACCATGTGGTCTCATTTACATTGGAGAGATGAAATGCAAATTGTGCGATTGCTTTGCGAAACACCTACGTTCTGTCCACAATAATGACCCTGATATTTCGGTCACCTGCCTCTTCAACACACCAGTGTTTCCTGGTCAACATCTCCATCTCAGGCTTGCTGCAGTCCTCCAGCGAAACTCAGCACAAGCTGGAAGAACAGCATTTTATCTTCCACTTGGAGACCCTGCAGCCTTCAGAACTCAATACTGAGTTCAAAATTTTAGAATCTGATACACTTCCTTTGATGTCCCTTGCCCATCCCGATGCCCAGGCCCTGTCATGACATGGGCTGCTTTTAGCACAGTCAACACATTCTCACCTACTTATTGTGCCTAATATTAGCTTCTCCTTTTTCCTGCCTTGGTATCATCCAATCCTTTGCCTGCCTAATGTTGTTCTCTCTCTCTCTCTCTTAGCTCCATTGCCACCTATACACTCACTCCTTTTCTACACCACTGCCCCCACCTGTTGCAATCCCTGTTTTCAGCATAACCACCCTTCCCTAGCTACTATCAGTTCTGAAGAAGGGTCAGTGCACTCAAAATATTAACTCTGCTTTCTCTCCACAGATACTGCCAGACCTGCCGTGTTTCTCCAGCAATTTCTGTTTTTGTTTAAGTTAACCAACTTTTATTTTTAAATCAGTTTTGAATAAACAAAATTATGAAAGTACGAGGCACAAGATTTGTTGAGGTAGATTGAGAGAACACATTAAAAGCCATGATTGTACATAGGCAATGTACAAAGAACTATTACATGATATACAGCAACAATACATTCCCTTAAGGTGCAGAAACTCGAGAAAGGTCAGTCAACCTTGGTTCACAAAGGAAGCTCAGGATTGTATAAGATTGAAAGAAAAGGCCTATATTGCCAGTAATTCAGTAGACTGTAAGTTTTTTGGAATACAGCCAAAGAGGAAAAGAAACTGAGAAGGAAAAGCAGAATAGAATACAAATTAAATCTAACAAAAAACAAAAACCATTTGTGTAAGCTCCTATGGGTACATAAAAAGAGAACAACTGGCTAAAATGAATGGATCCATTATAAGCAAAGTCAGGAGAATTTGTAATGAGGAATAGAGAAAAAGCAGGGAAGCTACACCATTACTTTGTCTTCATTTAGGAAGAAACAACAAATCTGCTAGAATTTAATAATCCAAGTGGCTGTGGATAATGAGGAGTTGAAGGAAATTAACTTTGTAAGAAGATTGTACTGGAGAAGTTATTAAGGCCAAAGGTTGATTAATCCCAGGATCGGATGGTCTACATCCCAGAGTGCTGGAGGAGGTAGCTACATCAGAGCTGGTGGTGATTCCATTAGCGATGATCTTCCAAAATTCTATAAATTATAGAATGATTCCTGTGGATTGTAAGTGATCAAATGTCACCTCTATATTTAAGAAGGGAGAGACAGGGAAAAAAAAAACAGGAAATTACAGACCTGTTAGCCTTACATCAGGAATTGGTAAAATGCTAAGATCTTTTATAATGTATGGAATAAATAAACACTTGGATGACAATTATCTGATTGTGCATAGTCAGCATGGATTTACGGATTTGAGTTTTTGTTTGAAGGTTCTGAACTTTCAAAATGGATATAATGAGAGCTGCTGGCTATAGTATATATGGATTTTCAGAATGCTCCTCCACAAAATTAAAGCACTTGGGACTGGAGTTAAATGTACTGGCATGGCATGGCTAATAGACAGAAAACAGAAGAAATAAATTGGTCATTCTCTTACTGGCAAGTGGGGAACCATAGGATCAGTACTTGCGTTCCAGCTGTTCACATTAGTAATGTATTGATGATTTTGACATCTGGGACAAATATATTTCCAAATTTGTGGACAATATGAAGCTAAGTGGAAATGGATGTTGTGAGGGTGATGTAAAGTGGCTTCAGGATGATTCATGTTGGCTTAGTGAATGGGCATGAACATAACAGACATAATATAATGTGGAAACATGAGAGTTTAGCTTCTTTGGACAGAGAAGTACTAGAATTGGATGTGCAGAGTATTTCTTAAATGTAAAGAAGTTGGAAAATGTAGGTATATAAAGGGATCTCTTCGATGTCTTTATCAATAAGTCGCCAAAGACTAAAATACATGTGCGGCAAGCTATTAGGAAGGTTAATGGAACATTAGCTTTTATTGCAAAAAGATTCGAGTACAGGAGTTGTGAAGTCTTGCTTCACTTGTATAAGAGATTGGTTAGACTGCACCTGGGGTACTGTGTGCAGTTTTAATCTCCTTATTTTAGGAAAAATATATTATTGTCATAAAGGGAGTGCAAAGAAGGTTCACCAGACTTGCTCCCAGAATGGCAAGCCTATCCTGTGAAAAGAGATCGGATAAACTGGACCTGTATTCTCTAGAGTTCTGAAGAATGAGAAGTGATCTTATCAAAACTTACAAATTCTTAAAAGGCAGAGACAGGGTCAATGTAGGTAATAAGTTGGGGAATTTAGAACCAGGGCGTACAATTTAAAGACAAAGGGAATGCCATTTAAGGCCAAGATGAGAGGCTTTTTATTCAGATAGTTATGAACCTTTGGAATTCTCAACCCCATGGGACTGTGGAAGCTTAGTCCATAAATGTTTAAAAGATGGGGTTTGATAGGATTTCTGATTAAAAATGATGTTGGGAGTTATAGGGATGGGGTGGGTAAAAAGAATTTAAACGTTCAATCAGCCATGACAATATTGAATGTGGGCAGGCTCGAATGGGCTGAATGGTCTACTCCAGGTCCTATAAAAGGCTGCGCAAGAGGATAGGTGGGTTGTACATCAGAAAAATTATCATTACGTCGGCTGTGGATTCCTGATTTGCCGTGCTTTCCATAGGTAGCATGTATCCAGAAATATCAGCCCAACAGAGGAAAAGAAGAAATTATGTGGTCACTATCTCAGTTCTCGCTGTGTGCAAAGTGGCAGCCATAGTTCCTATATAACAATAACTTTAAAAGGATTTAATTGTTCCAAAATGCTTATGATACTATTAGACCATTGAATGTACAGTATTTTAAGTTTAAAAAAAAGCAGATGTTCAATTGTTAGGTTTAAAAAAAATCTCAGTATAACATGACTTTCCTCAGTGCAGACTCATAACACTCCCCCAACATACCACTCCAATTTTGAAATTCATCTCAAATCATGCATCTTAGAGTAACATTTTAAATGCACTACTGCACTGCCAGTGCCTTAAGTGAATATTGTGAGAAAGAACTGAGATTCAGCAGAATACAGAATGTAGAACTTACAATTAATAATTGGCAGAAACATAAATTTGAATTCAAAAATAAATCTTTTTGGCATGACTCTTGGTGTAAGACATTACAAAGTTGTTGTCATATCTATTACTGACAATCAGATTTACACTGATATGTGAAAACATTGATCCTACCTTCCCACTAAATATTCCCAGTTGAGTCGTGTCCAATCCCAGGCCATAGTTTTCCCATACTTGTTGTACGAAATGTACCGGAGAACAGTGAACACGTCCTGACTCTTAATGAGACTTTCATTTTTAATATATTTTAAGAATCTGCATTTTAAAGCAAAATATGACATTTGAATATTGATCAGCTATTTTAACACAATTTGAAATTATAGAATAAGAAAGAATCTCAGAACTGTTACAATGCAAAAACAGACTCTCCAAGTGAACATTTCGCCTCAAGCCATTTTCCGGCTTTCTCCCCACAACTGTGCATATTATTCCTATTCTAATAACTATCTAATTCTCTCTTAAAATGTCTTGATTGAACCTGCTTCCACCACATTCTCAGACTGTGCATTCCAGACTCAAAACACTCTGCTTGAAACAGCTTTTCCTTATATCTTTGTTTATTACTTTAGGTCTGTTCCTACATGTTCTTGATCCTTTCACAAGTTGGGATGTTTTCTTCTTATTTACTGTGTTCCTCATGATTTTGAATATTTTACGTAGATTGTCTTTCAGCTTTCTCCTCTCCAACAAGAACAGCCCCAGATTCTGCAATCTATCTTCATCTCTGTAATAATTCTCCAATGCCTTGATATCCTTCTCAAAGTGCATGTCCAGAACTGTACTCAATACTCCAAGGAGGCTGAACTTGAGCTTTATACTAATTCAACATATCCTCCTTGCCCTTATACTCTATGCCCTATTAATAAAATCTCAGATACTGTATGCTATTAACTACTCTCTCAACCTGCCCTGCCACCTTTCATGAGGTATGTACATATACATCCAGGTCTCTCTACTCCTGAACCTCCTTTAGAGTTGTACTCTTATTTTATATTGCCTGTCTTATTTTTCCTACCAAAGGTGCATCACCTCTCACTTCTCTGGATTTGAACATCATCTGCAACTACCCACTCTTTCCACAAAATTGTTCATGTCCTTCTGAAGTTCTACAAATTCTAGATTATTAACATCTAATCTCTAAAACCAAGTGTCCAAACACTAACCAACTGGGGATCTTCCTCCAGTCTGAACAAAAAATCCATTAACCACCCCTCTTTGTTTCCTGTCACTTAGTCAACTTGTATCCATGCGGTTGTTGACTTGCTCGCCGAGCTGGTAAGTTTGTCTTGCAGATGTTTCATCACCATACTAGGTGACAGCATCAGCACGCCTCCGGTGAAGCATCGGTGTTCTGTCCCGCCTGCTATTTATGTGTCTTCGTTTGCTGGAGTGTCTTTGCTTGGCTTGTCCTAGCCAAAAAAAAAGACAAAGACACGTACAAGAATTCCTGGAGGCTTGGCACTCAAACCGGAACTCCATTAACAAACATGTAGAGCTGGACTCCATATACCAACTTCTAAGAAACAAATCCAGAAGTGATGCCACCCACCCCACCAAGACACATAAATAGCAAGCGAGACAGAACACCAATGCTTCACTGGAGGCGCACTGTTGCTGTTACCTAGTATGGTGACAAAACGTCTGCAAACAAACTTACCTGCTCGGCGAGCAAGTCAACAACCCTACAAATCTTCTCAAAAACCTTGAACTTGTATCCATGTTGCTATTACCAAATTTGTTCCCCAATTTCTAAGTACAAGTCTGTTTTGTGGCACTGTATTAGATGTCTTTTGGAAGTCCATCATACACATCACAGCAACAGCACTGCCCTGAGCAAGCCTCCACTACCTCAAAAAAAGCTCCAATAAATTTAGTTAAACATAATTTTCTGTTATGATATCCATGTTGACTCTCTAACCCATATTTGTCCACGTGACTATTAATTTTGCCTAAATTACTGTTGATAGAAGTTTTCAAACCACAGATATTAAAAGTTTAGCCTGAAGCTGATAGGCCTATCTTTACAAATTTTTGAACAAGGATGTTACATTTGAAATTCTCCAGTCCTTCAGTACCACCCTAAGTCTAAGGGAAGCTGAAAAACTATTGCCAGTGCCTCTGCAGTTTCTACTCTCACTCCCATGTGTATTCCTGGATATATCACATCCAGTTCCGATGGCCTGTTGACATAGGTACGGACAGTTTCCGAGGACTCCTCATCAATTTTAAACTCTTCCACTGACTGAATCTTCTGCGGTTTCACCATGGCCTGGGTAGCATCTTCTATCTTGGTAAAGACAGTTGCAAATTGCCAGTTTAACATTTCACTGATGCCCTCTGCCTCCATGTGCAAATTCCCTTTTTGGTCCTTAATTGGTATCACTCCTCCTTTGATCACCCACTTACTACTACCAGTACATACTGAAGTCTTCAGAATCGTCTTTGTTTTTTCAGTCAGGGAATGAGACTTTTGCTGGTTGGGCCAGCTTTAATTGCCCATCCTTAAATGCACGCCAGAAGGTGGTGTTAAGCACCATTTTGAGCGGATGCAGTCCAGTTAGTGCAGGTAGTCGCACAATGCAGTTACGGAGGGATTTCTAGGATTTTGACTCAGCAATAGTAACAGATGGTGATATATTTCCAAGTCAGGATGGCAACTGGCTTGGAGAAAAACTTCCAAGTGTCAGTCTTCCAATGTCATTCTAGTTGGTAGTGGTCGTGGGTTTGGAAGAGACTTGGTGAATTTCTGCAGTGCATCTTGTATATAGTTCACACCGCTGATATTAAGTGCCGGTGGAGATAGCGTGGATGTGGTGCCAATCTAGCAGGCTGTTTTGACCTGGATGGTGTCAAGCTTCTGAAGTGTTGTTGGAACAGCACCTATCCAGGCAATGGGCTGTATTCCATTACACTCCTGACTTATGCATTATAAATGGTGACAGGTTGTGAGGAAATAGGAAAGGAGTTACTCATTGCAACATTCATAATCTCTGACCTGCTCTTGAACCTACAATATTTGTATGGCTAGTCCAGTTCAGTTTCTGGTTAATGGTCACCCAAAAGATATTGAGAGTGTGGAATTTAGCAATGGTAATGCCATTGAGTGTCAAGGGATAGTGATGGTGAGATTCTCTCTTGGTGCAGATCACCATTGCCTGGCATTTGTATTACTTGCCAGTTTTCTGTTCAAGTTGGCAAGCATATTAGCTACCAGTCTATTTTTATACTCCTTTGCTTTTTCACCACCCCTCTGAACCTGAATTTGTTTTTTAATTGTATTTTGTATTCAGTATTTGTCATAAGCACAGTTTCTTCTTTAGGATAATCTCTACCTTTTGTCATTCAGGGAACCCTGGATTTGTTTGTTCTACATTTCCTGCTTGAAGGAATATATCTTGATTGTGCCTGAACCATTTGTTCTTTGTAGGTAGTCCATTGTCCTCCCGACACTTTTCCTGCCAATCTTTGACTCCAATTAGTCAAGCCAATCAATTCTTACTCCCTTGAAGTTGGATTTCTCCCAATTAATTATTCTTCCTTTGGATTGTTTATTGCCCTTGTCCATGCTTACTCTCATCCTTCTGGTATAGTGATTATTGTCACCCACGAGTTCTACTGAACATCTACTTGGCCTATTTCATTTCCAAGAAACAGGTTTAGCAGCACTTACTTTGCTTATAATGCTTACTTACTTGTTGTACGGCTGTACAAAAATTCTCCTGAATATACCTTAGGAACACTTGCCACTCTCTGACCTATACGCAACCACTACCCCTGCCTATATTTAGATAATTAAAATCCCCCATTAAAACGACTCAATAATTTTGCCACCTCCCAATCGTCCAGAATTTGTTCCTCTCCATCCTTTCTGCTATTTAAGACTTAATCAAGCAATGTAACTATACCATTTTTTTTCCTTAGCTCCAGATAAATTTATTCTCCCCTTGAAACCTCCTCTTTCATCATCACTGCAATGTTAGGCTTAATCAGCCCTGCCACCCGTCCCCATTTTCATCCTTTACCATCTTTCCTAAACACTTTGTATCCAGGGATATTTAACAACTCGTGTTACCTTTCTTGAGCCTGATCTGTTATAGCCACAGCACCATATTTACACTTTGCAAACTGTACCTGCAAAGATGTTATTTACCACAATCCATCACATTTAGACTTTATTACTTTCTCCCTTTCACTGACCCCATCGATTAACTTGCTACTCTATTCTAGTGCTACCTACTTTTCCCTGTACACTTTGATATTGCTCTGATATTCTCTCCTGGTTCCCAAACCCCTGCCGAGTTTTTTATATCCTCCCAACAGCACTAGCAAAACACCATCCAAGAAACTCCGTCCTGGCTGTGTTCAATTGCAAATTATCAGACCAGTACGAGTCCCATTTTCCCCTGAGCAAGTCCCAGTGCCATAAGAATTGAAAGCACTTCCTCCTGCACCGACTTTCCAGCCAAGTATTCATCTGTCTTACCCTATATTCACTTGCATGTGGCACTGGGAGTAATCTGGGGATTACTACTTTTGAGATCCTGCTTGCTAGTTTCCTAACTTGTCCCTCAATTCTGAATGCAAGACCGTATCACTTTCTATCATATTGTTGGTTCCAAAAGATGTTGGTGGTGCACTCTTTCGTCAACATCCCCACTCTTCCCTCCAAGGGCTCTGCAGCTACTCAGTGTCATCCTCAACCCTGGCGTCAGTAAAGCAATATGCCACTCTGGATTCACATCTGCAGCTGCAGAAATGTCTCTCAGTTCCCCTATCAAACTACCTATCATTATGGTTCTTTCAGTATTCCTTGTATCCTGCTTTGAAGCTGAACCACCTGTGGTGCCATTCACTTTGCAATGGCTGCAGTCCAGAGATGAATCATCACTGTCACCAGTTTTCAGAACTCAATACTGTTTGGAGAGTGGAATGCACTCACAGGGCTTCTCTACTACTTTTTCTGTTTCTTTTTGGACTTCCTGGTGGTCAGCTATTCCATCTCTCCTTGGGAGGAGTGACTACATGTACAAACATGCTATCCATGTAGTTCTCAGCCTCAGATACGCAATGTGGTGACACTACCTACTGCTCATATTTTGAAACCCAGAACTCAAGTTGCTGCAAGTTGCAACACTTCCTGCACAAATGGATATGCAGGGTGCAGGTAATGTCCCAGAGTACCCCCAAAGAACAGGATGTGCAATTCTTGAGATTGAGGTAGCCTTGCCGTTCCTTTATTTATAAAATAACCTCATTACTGCTACAAATAAAACCTTAACTACACCATGAAACCTTACAACTAATAATAAGATCTTACTAGTACTCACAAATTCAACTATTACTTAATATGCTTCACTAGTTTCCGTAAACCTTAGTTAAAGTCCCTGCATTCCCTTCCACCATCCTTCCTCCCCACCTCCCCAAATTCCCACATGAACCAAATTTGTTACTTGGTCTACATCTGAGTCAGGTATAGTCTCTTGATCACATGCCCCTTATGGACACTTTTATTTGAAAACACTGCTCTGTTGTAGAGACCTCTGAGTTACTAACTAGCTTAGTTTTCTACTACAGTAACTGAACAAACTACTTTTAGCCGATTGACAAATTGTTGGCATTACCAGGCTCCCATATTTAATAAAGATAACTTAAATAACTTGAAGGTTGTCAGAATCTGACTCTATACCTACAGAATCTATATTTAAACTTAAGACTTACCACGTGATCCAGATTCACTACTACACTGTGTCTTCGTCTTATTAATCTAACTTAAATCACAGGCACAGCATGCAAGAATCTTATTTTATAGAATTTAGGAAATATCTTTAATTGGTTAAGTAAATCCTTTTACCTGTTCATAAACCACTGTGATAATGTTAGTCAATAAATGCCTTGTGACAGATGCAAGTGGATTGAGTATTGTATCTACCTGTCCAAAAGCCAAACATCCTCCACTGAAGCCAATCCATACAGAAGCTTGTCCTTCTCCTGAGCAAGGGTCGTTTCCTGGTACTTCTTAAACATAATTTCCCATGAAGTCAGATTCCCTGACTTTTGCATCCCATAACGGTAGACAATCATACGCAGATTTGGTGGTATACTAGTTATTAAAAAATATCAAGTTATTATTGACACACTTCATTTTCCTTTCCATTTATATTGTACTTCATAGTTAGCATTTGTTTGCAAATAGGCGTGGAAGGGGCTATGTTAACATTCCCATGAAAGGGTCTGGGAATTGGGGGTTAAAATTAGTAAATGATGTAACATGACCACAATCCACTGAAAGGAGCTCGTGGACTATCCACGTCTTGGCCTTCAGAGATGCGATGTTTCACTACAATATTTAAGTCAGGCTCCAGCAGGTAGCTGGGAGCCCAATTTAACTTTAACACCAGCCAGTGGGATTGCTGGGCTTGGAAACATGGCAGCTAAATGGAGTGAGCTGCTTCATTTGGCTGCTTTCAAGTGCTTTTTGTAGCATGGCTTGTCAGTCAAGAGCAACAAGACAGTTTCCCGCGGATCCTCAAACAAATCTACTACGATCTTTATCGAATTTGACTAGTTTAATTGTGAAAACTGGTCAGCATGGACAAGTTGGGCCGAAGGGCCTGTTTCCATGCTGTAAACCTTTATGACTCTATGAATACAATGGATGGTTCTGGTCTTCCGTTTAAGATTTCCCAACCAGCAGTATGCTAAACTGTGAAGCAGTCCAGTTCCGTAGCCAGAAACAAAGCATTGAAGAAAAAACAAATTAGGTCTAGTTATTAAATTCATGACGACCTCTGCATGCCTGGGATTCCCATGTTAACTGTTATCCCCAATCCCACCATGCTCCCTAATCCCTTCCTGCCACCTGATAAATGTCAGTGCCAGTATACTCACTGTCCTCCTGCCAACCATGTGTTAAATAGTTTAGATGCATTTGCTAATGCTTCTTCATCTCCCGTCCGGCATGCAAGCATCAAAACATCTTCCCTCAATAACCTGGACATACACCAAATATATTTTTGAATTAATTTATACAATTCAATAAATGTGCAATTCGTAATTGTTTTACAAGTAAAAACTGCAAACCTGTTCAAATGGGTGCCTTCGTCTTTCCAACCGAGTTTGTCTGTAATGGGTTTAACTTGCTTCCTCCAATAGTCCTGTAACAGTGAAAATGTCAATTTTTCTTCATTATCCAGTCTTTCAAGTATTTCAGACCTTTATTTTTACATATTCAAGGCATTCATTTCAGCTCACCTGAAACTTTGCGTAAAGAATCTCATCACCTTGCAGCATGTCCCGAATATACGCACTGGATGAAATCGCTTTCGACCAAGGCAAATATTCTAATTCATTCTCCAAATATTTTGTCATGTTTAAGGCTACAGAATAGTTTAATAGAGTTGCTCTGTAACAAGCAAGTAACAATTATAGTTCAGGGTTCCAATATATTTTATTCATGACCAGTACAAAGGTAAACTTTATGTATCTGTAGCAGTTCTACAGAGATAACATAATATATATGCCTTTCATCATAATAGCATACACTTTTTTTTTAAAGTTTTGATTTCAAATTAGTGGCATATGGGTGTTGGTTTATTTTGTGAAAGATTTAAAAATTAACTCAGTCTTTCTGGAACTATGATTTTAGATCTGTGTGTTCCTCCTGCTGTGTTCACGAAGATTTATTGAAATTGTGGGAGTTTGTGACAGGAGAGAGAAAGCATTGAAAGGCATTAGCCTACTTCTGGGTTTAGAATAAAGTGGATTAATTTTAGCTTAGGAAAACCGAGAAAATGGAAAGCTTTTGGGTGGCTTGAAGGAGATCTGATTGAGGTCAGATGCAAGTATAGTCTCTTCTAGAAATAAGATTGTTCATAGCAGTTAAGAAAATATGTTCTCACAGTGAAAGATAGTCTTTTGCGAATTGTGGCACATCAGGGTGTCTGGTAGGACCCCTGCAGATTATGAACATGGTCTAGACAATGTCTAAGCCCTCAGTTATGTGAGGATTCAAGAAAGAATTGTTCACAGCTCAAAGATTAAAAACTAAGAAGAAGCAAATAAGGAAGGCCTTCAGATTTGCTAGAATGAGGGCAATTTCTGTTTTTGAGTCACTGTAAAGTGATAGCTTTAGGAAGTAGAAAGAATTTTGTTTTGCCATTGTTTTAAAATCTTCCAAATTATAACATTTAGGTAGTCTTGATTTTTTTTCAGTTTTCTTTATTTCTTGTTTGCAATCATTTTACATTTTGTTAAAACCAAATCTGAAGTCTTTTTTGTTTCCATTTCAATGAAAGACGCAAGCTCTCTAGCTATCAGTTTGGCTTGGATTTCAATCAACATCCTCGGAGAACAATCAACAGGAGGAGAACCCAGCTTTACTCAGTTTCCCTCTTCAGCAATTTTCAAAATTCAAAGATTAAGTGACTCAAACACTTACCTTCCAAGTGAAAATGTGTCATCAATTAATCCCGTACGATCAGCAACTGAAAAGAACTACAAGGAGGTACAGAAGTTATACAGCATTTAGTTAGCACAGATTTTCCCTTTAATGAAACTGTACAATTATTTAGCTCTTACACTTCAGGCCTAAAATTAAATGAAGAACATTTTAACTTACGTTATGTTCCCTTATCAGCTGATTGATGATTTCATCCCAGGTTGATGCTTCATACTGCACACGATAGAATCCAACATGATCTGTGTTTATTTTCAGTAATCCATCAGCTGGGTCATACTTCAAATTAATACCTAAATGTTCATCAAATATAAACAGTAAATAAACTATTTTTGTCTGTATTTTAACAAAACCAATAAATAGACCAATGTCATGTGCAAAAGTCTTTTAAAGGTAGAAAGTCCTCATTTCACATGCTCGGTATAATTCTATCAGCAAGGTCTGCTCTTTTCTACCTTTAACCTTGTGCTCTAATTTCTTAATTCATCAACACAAATTAATATCTCCTGCAGATTTTATTTCTCTTGTTCTTTGGCCCTCTTTCTTACTGTTCCTGATAAAGATTTGCTCTCCATCCTTCTGAAACCACTGTACTATGAAAGTGGGTTAGTATTTCAGATCTGATGAAAGGCAAGAGATCTGAAATATTAACTGTGTCTGTCCTGCCAGATGCTGCCTGAAGTGTTGGGTATTACAAGCTGTTTTTTGTTGTAGCAACTAAAAGATTTATCTTTCACTCAACAGTGCAATCTTCCTTTATAGCATAATGTGGTGTGGGTTGGAAGAACCACATATTGCTGTCATGGGCATGATGGAGCAAATGGCCTCTTACTGTGCATACAGCTATGATTTACTGGCCCAGTGTATCACTACAGAGTAAGCTGGCCAAGTCCGAAAGGACATCACCGATAGATGGGGTCTGCTGCAAGTAATGAGGAAAACTAAATGGAAAAATTGTCCTTTATCAATCTACCTGTTGGAAATGCATCCATCCATGGTAGTATCAAGGTAGGAGTGATCACTGAACAGTCCTTGTGGAGACAAAGTCCTGTCTGCACACTGAAGACATCTCCATAATGTTGTGTAGCAATGCCACGGTGCACTTCAACCAGATGTAGCAATGCAAAACTGGGCATCCATGAGATGCTGTGGGCTATCAGCGGCAGAATCGTTTATAACCATGATGTAGCCTCTCAGCCCTGCATAATCCCAACTACCATTACCACCAAGACAGCAGATCAGCCGTGGTTCAATGGGGAGTGCAGAGAGGGCATGTCTGAAAATGAGGTGCCAATTTGGTGAAGCTGGAACACAGGACTACTTGCATGCCAAACAGCAGATGCAACACAATAGATAGGGCAAAGCAATCCCACAATGAATGGATCAGATCAAAACTCTGCAGTCCTGCCATATCCAGTCATAAATGGTGGTAGCCACCTAAACAATAAACAGAAGACGGAGGCTCCACAAATATCCACAACGATGGGGAAGCCCAGCACATCAGTGCAAAGTTAAGGCTCTTCAATGACTTACCCTCAATCATAACATCAAAAGTGGGGATATTCTGGGATTATTGCACAATGTTCAGTACAATACATGATTCCTTATATCCTGAAGCAGTCTATGCCATATGCAGCAAGACCCAGATAATATCCAGTCTTGTGCAGGTAAGCGGCAAGTAACATTCACGCCATACATACGCCAGTCAATGACAATCTCCGGTTGGAGAGTAACCTCGCCCCTTGACATTCAACGACGTTATCATTGCTGACTGCCTCACTATAAACATCTGGGGATTACCATTGACCAGAAACTGAAGTGGACAAGCACATAAATACCATGGCTGCAAGAGCAGATCACAGACTAGGAATTCTGTGGTAAGTAACTCACATCGTGACTTCCCACATCCTGACCATCTACAAGGCACAAGTCAGGAGTGTGATGGAATACTCTTCACTTAATCTAGATGAGCACATTTTCCAACAGGACTCAAAGAATGGTGCCATCCAGGACAAAGTAGCCCACATGATTGACACAACTTCAACATTCACTCCTTTCAACCCCAATGCACAGCGCCAGCAGTGTGGACCATTTACAAGGTATAGTGCAGTAACTTACCTGTCCAAACCTACGATCTCTATCACAAAGGTAGACAAGGATAGCCGATGTATGGGAACGCTATCATCTGGAAGTTTCCTTCAAAACTGGAAATATACCACTGTGCCTTCATTTTGCAGGATCAAATAGCTGGAACACCCTAACAGCACTGTGGTTGTCGCCACATTGCGAAGACTGCAGTGGTTCAAGAGGGCAGCTCACTACCATCTGCTTAAGGGCAATTAGGGGTGGTCAATAAGCACTAGCCCAGTCAGTAATATCCACACCTCATGTAAAAAAAAAATTGATCTTGCATGAGCCAACCTTATATTTAAAAAAGGCTTAGAGAAATAAAAGTAGTTTTGATGGCGATGCTCCAGCCTAACACTTGCGGGCTCAATGTCTGAGCTCGCACTCCCAGTAGGGAGCATCAACTGGTGGGGGCTTAGATAACGTGGGCTTACTGAATTGCAGGACTTTCAGGACTAGAGCTCCAATGTCCCACTGAGGTGCTTGGCCCCCATTATAAAATCTGCCCAATTATCATTTCCACGACCTGTAAAGCACTTTCAGCATTTTCTGCTTTGCTTTCAGATTTTGAGCCTGTGCAATTTTTGGATCCACGAAAGCCTACATTTTCAAGTCTCAACCTTCTTTTATCTCATACGTACTGTTTGAACTGGACTTAAAAAATGTTTCATTTTGTTCATTCTTTGTGTGCCACTTTATGGGGATATTCCATCGATAACTGAAATAGAAAAATGAAGGTTTCAATAATTTTCAATTGTTTATTGTATATTTTTAACCATTGTATCAGGGGCTATGGCCATATCTTCTGAGCTACATCACACCGTCAGACTCCACATTTTCACTGTGCATGGTGAAAGATCAAAGTTTGGATATTCTGAACAAGGAAAATTCAACTGGAAATGGAAGCAATATAGCCATAGTAAAGATGTGCCTATAACTGACAGGAAATGACCAACTGGTCCATCAAACAAGTAATGTATGGGCCAATGGGCTGTGGCAGGTCATCTAAAATGAGATAAACTTTACAGTCTACTATAAAGGATGTAATAGCAGAGCATTCAGAAGTACATAAGCAGAGTTAGCATTCCTTCATGGAGGAGAAATCAGGCCTGATAAATTTATTGACTTCTTTGATGAGGTAATAGCAGGATAGATAAAAAGGAACAGTAGACGCATTACATTAGCATTCCTAAAAGGCATTTCATAAGGCACTTTTATTACCTTGAAGGAAGAGAAACTGTGCAGTGGATTTTTTTGCTGGAAGATGGGTTTGGACACTATCAGGTGGTGTCTTTGGAAAAAAAAACAAGTAACTGCCCGGCAACGGGGTTTGGATTGATTTAAAGTAGCAGTTTGACACTGAATTGAGGGCACAGAAAACAGTTAGGATACAGACGTCCAAAAGGTCTATCCACAAGCTGGATCCCTCGCTCTACCTTAACATGCAAAGACTTTGCAAAAAGAAATAAAACTTCAAATTAAAGCCAAGATCCAAGTTCATCTGACTGGCTACTAGATTGAAGATCTCTGCAGTCAACAACCATGGGTATCAAACCCAAGAGGAAAACTGTGAGCAAAGTCATCTCATTCCATCCCATTAGTTTTGACTGTGATCCACAGACATTGTTTCTCTTTGGCTATAGTTTCCATCCACGATATTTCTAAGTGTGTGTGTGTAGACAGAAAGACAGAGAGAGGCACAGTGCGAGAGTGTGATCATGTGTGAGAGTTTGAGCGAGAATGCGCGTAAAGCTTTAAAAGGAGTATAATTTAAGTTTGCATTAGTAACTGGTTTTTATCAGGTTAGATGATAAGTTTGTGACAATAAATACATTTATGTTTCTTCTTCATTGACAAAGCTTGGTGAGAGAATTTCTTTTATTTTAGATAGTGGTCACAATCAGCCATTAACTATCCTGAAGATTAAATGAATCATATTTCACACTTTTGATGATTTATGGAAAATGGGGCTTGATTTCCAATTTATTATTCCCACCACGATCGTGCCAATGCAAAGCAAATTGGTTATCCACTGAACAGCATGCCTTACTTTAGAGATGAAGGAGGCTGAGTTGCATTTGCTCCAGGGTCTAACAGGAAGCGTTTCTGTGTGAGCTTGGAGATTGATTCAACATTTAGTACAGGAAAACCCATTTGCCGTGTCCACGTATCCATCACTTCCTTTACAGGATAACCACTGACCTACAGAAGAAATTAATTCAATGCTAAGAAGCGTGGAAAATAAGAACTGGCCAAAGCAGTAAACACTCATATTGAAAGGAGTAAAGATTACAACCTAAACTAGTCTTTACCTGAGTGAGGGCTTGCCAGAAGTCATCAGTCTTTGCATTTTTAAATTGGTGATCCTGGAGGTATTTCTGAAAGTAGAATGCAGCAGTTTTAAAAAAAGTTCCTCAGTTATTGTAAACAAAATATTTAATTTCAGTATGGCAGGCATTGTTTCCCTTCTTGGACCCTCAGCATTCTGTGTCATCCACAGACAAGATGTATGCATGGAATTAGATATCAACAAATGCCATTCTTCTCCATCTCTGTTAGGAACCACTTAGTTTCCAGTGATGCCCTCATGACAGAATGACTGAGAATGGGATCTCATCAGTGCAGGAGTAAGAGGACAGATAACAACTTAAAAACTATGTGCTGAAGCCATGATGCATTGCCACATCTACTGATCAAGAGAAAAAAAATCTAAAGAATTTTGTACCTGGCAACCCTGCTGAAATTTCTCTGGAGTAATCCAATCACGCAGCATACGGAGAATTGATGCACCCTGCAAACATGAACAAAAAGAAACACACAATAATCCCTAAAAATATGATCTGCAACTACAACACACAAATATGCCCTTAAAACAAGAGAGGAAAAACTGTATTTTTTAAACTGGCAGATCGTCAAATCTGTTGAGCAGTCTACTGGTGCAGTGGTGGAACAAGAAACTGAAACGGATTTCAAAGAAGAATTAGTCAGGGTTTGGTTAACAAAGAGAGATTACGGGCTACTAGAAAACAGCTAAGAAATTCCAAATAGGTGGGCTAAGAAATTGAAGTTTCTGGTTCCCCCTGTCTGAAACTTACATTGTGTTAACTGTGTGAACACAAATTAAAATACACAACCAATTAATGGCTACTTAAGGACCTCAATGTGCTGGGCAGTTGAAGTAAGGCAAGGGTGTAACGGGCAATTATTTCACCAAAGTTGAAGATAATATCCTCCCCAAACTCTGTAATGGCCTGGTCTTCAAAACCTGCATCCGCACCATTCCCTTTAGGTGCATTATCCCTCTCTGTCAAAAAATGTCCAGGGTTTCTCATGTCTGGTAGCCATTGAGCTTCTCGTGAGCCTGCTGACAGTCTCAGGAATGTGTTCTGGTGATACCGGGACTGCAAGAGCAGCCGGCCTAACTTATGAAGAAAATTGCTGCTTTGTTGTCAATGACTAGCTTAAAGGGGTCATTATTGTTAAATTATGTGCATTTGCACAAGGCATCCACGCAAATGATAGCCATATAATCAGCCTCATACTGATTTATGGTTCAAATCACTGACAATTATAATGCATTTGTGTTGGGGGAAGCAATAATCATGGAGACACATAGAGAACAAAGTATTTGAACAATTAATTTCACGTTATGCACATAATATTGCAGTAAACAAACAGATTCTAAATTAAAAAGGTAAATAATGCCCTAGGATAAACACTGCAACAGATTCTCATTATGTTCCCTAACTGGACACTGTTCGTATTCAAACATAATTTGCAAGGTAGCTACTGTTTACAACATTACTTTATTTACAATCAATTCAATATATCTTTCATTTTACCAACAGCACCAAGTATCTTACTGTTAACAGATGTCTGCAAATCAATAAGAGTGATAAGTTTTAATTGCTCACCAGTGCATGTCTGTCAATTATAATGGCCCCTACATACACTGTCTGATTTTAGGGCCCACTGTGAGGTTGAAATTGTGAAGTACATGTTATTGAGAAATGTATTAATTCCTCCCCCTGATTTTAATAGAGGCTTTTAAAATAAAATGAATTTCAAACAAATGTGTTTGTATATTTCCTATTAATATCTCTCAGCACTAAATTAACATGTAGGAAGAATCTTCCATTATGCCAATTTCAGTATGACTTGGTGAGTCACTTCCACTAGAGGGCAAGTTGTGTGAGCACACAGTTCTCAGCTCATTGCATCTGCATGTGTTTGAGGACAATTTTTTTCATTCATTAACGGGATGAGGGCGTCACTGGCAAGACAGCATTTATTGCCCATCCCTAGTTGCCCAGAGGGCAGTTAAGAGTCAACCACATTGCTGTGGGTCTGGAGTCACATGTAGGCCAGACCAGGCAAGGATGGCAGTTTCCTTCCCTAAAGGGCATTAGTGAATCAGATGGGTTTTTCTGACAATCGACAATGGATTCATGGTTAGCATTAGACTCTTAATTCATTTTTTTAAATTGAATTCAAATTCCACCATCTGCCTGAGTGTGATTCAAACTCAGGTCCACTAAACATTATCTGTGTCTCTGGCTTAACAGTTCAATGATAATACCACTAGGCCATCACCTTCATGGTAAATGTTAAAGGGTAGGGAGTGGGAGCAGCAAATTCTTGCCCCTGCAAATTCTCTGCCCTCTTGAGGTCAAAGATTTTGGCACCATGGGCAGAGGTTACCCACAGAGGCATGTTCTTACTGCAAGCCAGGGGCAACAGTGTTTCTGCACTCAGATAGATGTCACAGCACGACAAGAAGTGGCCCCATGGCTCAGTAATGCCTTGCTGCACATAGCTGCCACAGCGGTTCTTTTGTCCCCTCCTCATGGTGATAGTTATGACCAAATGGTGGGGATTAATCTGTTCAGAATTGTCTTTGCAGCTCTACTCCTGTCCTAGCCTCGGACAAAATCAGACGTTCTTCACCTCAAACGTCACTGAAGCTCCCAACCTTGCTGAGATCTTGAGACTCCTGACTCACAGAGCAGAAGTGTTGTTCTGTGGGCTTCTCCCCAGAAAAGAGGACACACCTGAAGATGGTGTTCATGCAACTTTCTTCATTTCACACTTGGAACAGTATGTTTAGTGTACGTCTACATATGCCTTCAACATATGTGTAATTCTTGTGCCCTCAGGAGGCCATGCATAGGTGAAAGGGCATGGAAATGGATGGTGGTGACAGATGGGCTAGAGTGCATGATGGACAGATGACATCACATGGCACATGGACATCCACTGGGAGGTGAATAGTTCTTGTGCAGTGGCAGCATGAGGAGTCTCAGCTGAACTTACAGTGGATTTCCTTGCACAAGTCAATGGCTGTTGCCATTAGTCTCTCTTATGCATGGCCTCTATCTGCCAACTGCATTTCTACTACCCCATTATCTTTCTCATTTCTTGCACTGGTGAGAGTAGGCAAGCCCTCTGTAGGTGTGCCCTTGACATACTGGATCTGTCCACAAAGGCTCTCCAGTCCACTGACCAAATGAACTCTGTGACTAATTCCGAATGAAGGAAACATGGCAGTTACCCAGGAACCTCTCACACATTTGCTGCAGTTGCACACCATTTGCACATTGAGGGAGTGGACACTCTGCCTATTTAAGAAAGCATATGTCCATTTTGAAGGAGGATTACGGCCACCTGTGTGGAATTCTATGGACTTGTGGGAATCCCACCATAGCACTGAAGCTGACGGTCATCTTGGCTTAGCTTAAATTCCATTATAGACCACAGCCTTATGTTATACACTGCCCTCACAAGCGAGGAATCCGTCCTTTTCTTATTATACAAAGATGGACTATAGATGTGAGATCCCAGAAATGACTCCGGCCAATCCTTGAAACAATTCTCCAGTGAAATTTCACATCTCCACTCAGGGGCGGCAGTTCCCAACTCCATCCCATTCATCTCATCTCCTCCTCCAGCATGCCACATATGCCAGAGCCAGTCTTTATAAGCAGACTCTTCAGAGACACTGGTTCTGCAAAGGGTCCATAACATTAAGCTGGTCCCTGCCCTACTGTCCCCACGAGCTTCGCTAGCACTACATCACGTCATTGGTGCTTCTTCAGCCATTGCAGCCCTTTTGATGTGGCTGCTGAAGCTTTCTCTCACTCTTCTCTTGATTGAAACAGTGATCTGAGCATGCCCTTCTTCCTTTGCTGCCTTCAGCCCTTAATGGGCAACACCCTTTGCCTTCTTGGCTTTTTAAACTTCCAGTTACTTGCCTTCTTCCATACATAAAGACTCAAAGCAAAACAGGGCAGAACACATACACTTAAGGGTAAGGTCCTGGGGAGTGCTGCTGAACAAAGAGGCCTTGGAGTGTAAGTTCATAATTCCTCGAGAATGGAGCCGTAGTTAGATAGGATAGTAAAGAAGGCATTTGGTATGCTTGCCTTTATTGGTCAGTGCATTGAGTACAGGAGTTGGGAGGTCACGTTATGGCTGTACAGGCCATTGGTTAGGCCACTTTTGGAATACTGTGCAATTCTTGTCTTCCTGGAAGGATGTTGTGAAACTTGAAAGGGTTTAGAAAAGATTTACAAGGATGCTGTCAGGTTTGGAGGGTTTGAGCTATAGGGAAAGGCTGAGTAGGCTGGGGCTGTTTTCCCTGGAGCGTTGGAGGCTGAGGGGTGACCTTATAGAGGTCTTTAAAATCATGAGGGGGGTGGATAGGGTAAATAGACAAGGTCTTTTCCCTGGGATGGGGGAGTCCAAAACTAGAGGGCATACGTTTAATGTGAGAGGGGAAAGATTTAAAAGGGACCTGAGGGGCAACTTTTTCACACAGAGGGTGGTGCATATATGGAATGAGCTGCCAGGGGAAGTGGTTGATGCTGGTACAATTACAACATTTAAAAGGCATCTGGATGGGTATATGAACAGGAAGTATTTGGAGGGATATGGGCCTCATGCTGGCAAATGGGACTAGATTTATTTAAGATATCTGGTCGCACGGATGAGTTGGACTGAAGGTTCTGTTTCCATGCTGTATGACTCTACAACTTTGTCAGGAGAGTAATTTCACTAAAATGGGGGTTTTAAGTGGTTGTCTTACAATTGATTGTCACATAAACAAATGTATCTGGACTGTAGCGGTACAAGAAAGCAGCTCATCACCATCTTGTCAAGGCCAACTAAGGACAGGCAATAGATGCTGGCCAGCCAGTGCCACCCACAGTGAATTAAAATTTACCACCAATAAATTCTAATAAGTAGCAATCTTTCTGTTAAACTGCACTCCCTTTCACTGGCATCCGTGTGCCTTCCCCCTTGGGAACTCAGTACATCTTATTCCCCATCATAGAATTTAGAGTACAGAAGGAGGCCGTTCAATCCATTGTGTCTATACCAGCTCCTGAAAGCAGTAACCAGCTGGTCCCATTCTCCAGCCCTTTCTCTGTAGCCCTTTAAATTCCTCATTTTCAGTTACATATCCCATCAGTTACACAAAACAATCCCACTCTTGCTGTGTTCTTTCCACTTTGTAGTTGGGGCCAGTGCATCTTCCACAAAATTTTACAAAAGTACGAAACTGACAACGAATGAAATCTTCAGTGGCTTCAAATTGAGACCCAGGCCCAGTCTATGGCTGGAAATTCAGCTACTGCCAGGAAGGCATTGGGGAGCAATCCTAATGTATTTTTGGACAGAATTCAGCCCATTCAGTACGCATGAGCCTTTGCAAAATATCACAACACACTTACAGTGCAACTAAGAAAGTCCAAATGTATAGCTTATTTATAATAACTTCACAGTTCTTACCTTACTATATGATATGCCATCAAACACAGAAGTAATTTCTGCTGGTGTTGATACATTAACAATGATTGGATGAGATGATAACAAAGCATCATCAGCCATTACACTCAAAACATCACTTGCAAGAATCTGATCCATCTGGGAAAAATATCATCAGAGTTTAGTGACCAAACCAATCATGAATCATACTACTGTAAGTCTCTACGTGGCAGAACTAGGTGATGCATATGCCTGCCAGTGCACTATAAAAAAATCTTATGAGCACTTAGAAAATAAGAGACGATATCACTGCTTTTACTGAAAAGATAATGAAAAATTACTAATTTATATCATTTATGTCTGACTTATGAACACACATACTTACAAACTTGATCTCGTACAGAGGTATAATTTTAAAGACCTGAGATATGAACATTTCCTGTACTTACAAACGGCTCCTTTATATTGCCTTGCATTGTGTCCTGATTTGTGAACGGAGTCCAGAACTGAACCCGTTCGCAAGCTGGGGACTGCCTGTACATCAACAATAACAGCAGGAAAGGGAATCTCTAAAGAACAGCCTCATATTTGTAGATATTTTCAATTAACCTGTTCAGACATGTTATGACACATTTGCAGCAGGTTGGATTTGAACCCAAGCTTTTCAGCTCAGTGCATCACAAGAGGCCTATTTTTCAGCATCTGTATGCTGGTATCAATGATATACTTTCAGGACCAGGCTCAATTTTTGTTGAGGGATCCACTTGATATTTTTCAAGGATCACTTTTTACGTTTCAGGGCTTCTCTACAATCTCATATAGCTCCTTCATTAGGTGAGACAGTCACCTTCCGTATATATGTTGACATACAGTGGCTTTAGACTCATGGCAGCAGAATTAGAAAAATCTCTAATAATCTTCACAATTTCATTAAACTTAAAGCCGCAACAAACAAGGAATGTATTGATGTCCTGGATACCGTAGTGTTCAAATTGGCAGAAGTCAGCTACAAATGTTTTTGTACATAACAGGAAAGTTGATCCACTTCTATACACAAAAAACCATCATCCCAAACTGGTGAGGTTACAGCTAAACATTTGTGAGTTTGTCTAACACAATCAAATATGCAAATGGAACTCAAATCATTGCGCGTGAGGCACTTCAAGATGTGGCAGCACAAATGCAAATCTTTTAAGAATATCTTTGGTCAATGAGGTTAGACATGGCGGTCATTACAATTTTATCCATTGCATTTCCCCTTCCCCCCGCAACCACAATCCATACAACAGTTCCCAAACTCCACATTAATTTGCAAGGAATTTATTACCTTAGTCTTCCTGCTCCAAGTTTAGGTGAGCATTTCTTACTTTGACACGTGAGTTTAAAATGTTTTCTTGCTTTTGCACCTTTCTAGTCCCCGCTTCAGACCTTTTCTGCCATTCGTTGACCTTCTCTCCCATTTCAGCTCCTCACTCCCCCATGGTGGTCCCTCTTTTCTAAACCCTCACCTCCCCCCTCAAAAAAAATCTCCTCTATCCCACTCGAATATTCACTTCCTCTTCAGCCCTCAGTCTTGCCCACCAGGCCCTCTGCCCTACTTCTCCATCTTGACCTCCAATCCGCTCTGCCATCTGTCAGGCTCGGTTCCTGTTCCCATCCCTACTTCCATTGTCCTTGGTAAATGCTGCCATGCACGATGCTCATCCAATCACTAGCTGGTTCTCTCCCACATTTGATGCCAATAAGGTCACCACAAACTCACCATTTCTTTTGATTTTATCTATGGGGGTGACTTTTTTTGCCTTGGTCACCCATATTAGGGGATACTCCTGGGTTGATTTAAGTACTTTCGTTGCCAGATTCATCTGTCAATCCTATATATTTTGAGGTATGTTCAGAACCAGTGTGGAAGATTTACTTACCATGAACCAATCAGGTTCAGTAGCATTTACCCCAATGTTTTCAAAGAAACTGGCAAATCCTTCATTCAGCCACAAGTCGTCCCACCAATCCATGGTCACAATATTTCCAAACCACTACAAGTAGAAACAATGTTCATTGTACACTAAACAGCTTAGTACCTTTTATTTTAATGCACTTGACATCAATTAAAAAGCTAACCAAGTGAAACATCTAGAAACAAACCTCCTGAGTGTTTTCCCAACTACTATTTGAATCTTACCTTTCTAAATCTAATGATTTTAATGATTTTTCACATGGAGAACTATGGCCTGCAGTTAAAGTTCAACTTGGAATTCATAACTAAGGTTCCTAATATACAATTAAATGGGTTTACTTTGTCCCTCTTATTCATCCCCATTGCTCTTGGAAGCAGTGAAAATCTGCAACATAATTCTGACAGAAACCAGATATAACTGCATATTCTAAACATCCACAAGATTTTAGATTTACCGATGTTAATGGATGGCCTTCAAATTAGGACAGTACAAAATTTTAAATGGCTCCTTTGCTGCTTGAGATAGCTTGCATTTTGTTAATGCAGAAACACACATCCACCATTCAACTTCAACGAATGTGGACTCAAAAGAAAATATTTGTGGGTGGCATGATGGCACAGTGGTTAGCACTGCTCCCTCACAATACCAGGGGCATGGGTTCCCCTTAGGCGACCGCTAGTTTGGAGTTTGCATGTTCTCCCTATGTCTGTGTGGGTTTTTTTCCCAACAGTACAAAGATGTGTAGGTTAGATGGATTGGCCATGCTAAATTGTCCCACAGCGTCCAGGGATGTACAGGCTCAGTGGAGTAGCCATGAGAAATGCAGGGTTATGGTGACAAGGTGGGCAAGGTGAGATGCTCTTTGGAAGGTCGGTGCAGACTTGATAGGCCAAATGGGATTCTATCACGATATTGTCTTAGCAGCAAATATTGTAAGAGTGTAAATAAGGTATGGGACATGCTGATATCAGAACCTAAACGCCTGGTATTGGTTCCTGTTACACAAAAACCTTTGCCAAAAGAACAACAGTATGAAATCACACCAGTGTCAAAAGTTATAAAAAAAATTGTCCTGAATATATGAAATTGATCACTTAAAGAAGTAGTTTTTGAGCAAAGACTATTATATTTATTATTAAAAATGTGAACACGTACACAAAGTACAATGGAGTTAAGAACAAACTTTCACAAGTAGTGCAGTGCTGGATGAAAACAAGAAACTTGCAGCATATTTCTTAAGCAAATAAGCTATTCAAGCCCTGCAATTGGTAAATAGAAAATGTTTTCTAAATTCTTTCTGCCATTTTATGTTATTGATTGGAATGTTTTTATTTCCTAGCATTTTGCACCACTTTTAAACCATCGTGAAACAAAGAGTGAACACAAATCAAGAAGTCTGCAGCTCAACAAATCTTTAAATAAAAACCTTTGAGATGTTTCCAAGAAGAAATAAAGTATGAACAAGTACTTTCAGCCCATTTAAAACATCTCATCATTTAGGCTAAATTCAGGATTTTACAGAACACTTTTGCTTCCCCTACTCCACTGATTATTTTGGGTTTAATTCAGCATTCTTGATTTCTAGTTGAATTAGGAATCTTTCAGTGTACTTTAATGTCTCACAACAATGAATGTTTACCAAACGTTTTGGAGGGTTTCTCAATAAATAAGTAATTCTAAATGCTGATATGTTCTCTTGAAAATCTAAGTAAAATAGGTCATTTTGTCAATCCAATCGTGGCCTGGACTTTATCTTACTACCTTATAGACCTTGATTCCTTTGTAGATAAAATGTCTGCCAACAATTTGTTTATGGTGTTCTCATCCTATTCTCAGATAGTTTCTATCATGTATTACAAACACAAAGATTGAATTATATTTTTCTTTACAGACTGGATACCGGTGGTCAGCAGTGTGCCACCAGGATTGGTGCTGGGTGCGTTGCTTTTTGTCATTTATATAAATGATTTGGATGTGAATGTAGGAGGTATGGTTGATAAGTCTGCAGATGACACCAAAATTGGCAGTGTAGTGAACAGCAAAGAGGATTACCTCAGAGTACTACGGGACCTTGATCAAACGGGCCTATGGGCTGAGGAGTGGCAGATGGAGTTTAATTTAGATAAATGTGAGGTGCTGCATTTTGGAAAGGCAAATCAGTGCAGGACTTATACACTTAATGTGTGGGTGGCACAGTGGCTCAGTGTTAGCACTGCTGCCTCACAGCACCAGGAACCCAGGTTCAATTCCACCCTTGGGCGACTGTCTGTGTGGATTTTTGCATGTTCTCCCTGTGTCTGCGTGGGTTTCCTTCGGGTGCTCCGGTTTCCTCCCACAGTCCAAATATGTGCAGGTTAGGTGGATTGGCCATGCTAAATTGCCCATAGTGTTCAGGGATGTGTAGATTAGGTGGGTTATAGGGGGATAGGTCTGAGTGGGATGCACGGAGGGTGAGTGTGGACTTATTGGGCCGAAGGGCCTGTTTCCACACTGTAGTGATTCTATGAAATCTATGAAATTAACGATAAGGACCTGGGGAGTGTTGCTGAACAAAGAGACTTTGGAGTGCAGGTTTATAGTTCCTTGAAAGTGGAGTTGCAGATAGACAGGATAGTGAAAAAGGCGTTTGGTATGCTTGCCTTTATTGGACAGTGCATTGAGTACAGGAGGAATTATTGTGGCTGTATGGGACGTTGGTTAGGCTACTTTTGGAATACTGTGTTCAATTCTGGTCTCCCTGATATAGAAAAGATGTTGAAAAACTTGAAAAGATTCAGAAAAGACTTACAAGGATGTTGTCAGGGTTGGAGAGTTTGAGCTATAGGGAGAGGCTGAATAGCTGGGGCTGTTTTCCCTGGAGCATCAGAGGCTGAGCGGTGACCTTAAAGAAGTTTATAAAATCATGATGGGCAAGGATAGGGTGAATAGACAAGGTCTTCTCCCCAGTGTGAAGGAGTCTAAACTAGGGGGCATAGGTTTAAGGTGAGAGGGGAGAAATTTAAAAGGGACCTAATGGGCAACTTTTTCACGCAGAGGGTGGTGTGTGTATGGAATGAGCTGCCAGGGGAAGTGGTGGAGGCTGGTAAAATTACAACATTTAAAAGGCATCTGGATGGGTACATGAATAGGAAGGGTTTAGAGGGAAATGTGCCAAATGGGACTAGACTAATTTAGGATATCTGGTCAGCAAGGACCAGTTGGTCCAAAGGGTCTGTTTCCCTGATATATAGCTCTATGATTCTATGATATATTTTATCCAATGAGTATTGATTTAGGTAGATCCCTCTGTCTTTTTCATGCTTTTTATAATCTCAACTAAAATCTCGTCAGTGCCACTATTTCTAACCATTTAAATTTTGTTTAGTTGAAACACAGCAACTCCTGATTCACCACTGAAAAAAAAAGGGGATAAAAATGTCTTTAGGAAGATAGACGAGACATTTAAGATTGAGTAGAAGTCTCGTTATCTGCAGCTCAAGCTAAAATCAATAATAATGTACAAATTGGCATTACTGAACACTGAATATTGCATTCTTTCAGTACCTGGTGAACAAGTTCATGGGCAACAACTGAGGCCACCCGTTGCTGATTATATGAGGAGGATTCATTTTTATCAAACAGCAAGTTAGTCTCTCTGTAGGTGATCAGTCCCCAGTTTTCCATAGCACCGGTACCAAAGTCTGGGATGGCAATCATATCTGCAATGTAGGCAACAGGATCAATAAAATTCATCTGACAGAAATACAGACAGTGTGTTCACATTAATCTTTTAGATTTGCTGAGTAAACTATCACAAGACCACATGAAATTGACTGTTCTGGTATTCTTTTGTCATTTGCAGGTTGTTATATGCTATACTTGGCATTTAATGATTAGATGGTAGATATTTATTATCGGATTAATATTAAATGCTATTTTTAATGACTGTGTCTTACTGAAGAGAATCTGATTAATGTACTGATTCCTTTATACTTCAAAGCTTTTCTAGATGTAGAAACACTGAGATAGAGGAAAGAAAGTATGACATTTATTCTACAAGTGAAGGAGACTTAATTATTTCGAGCTCAGCAGTAGCATTCAGTTCCACTGGTTCTCATGTGTGCTCTCAACTTTTGTATATTCCTGTCCCTGCTTTGTAAGGTTACACAATCTGCTAGGTGCTTGAGGTAGCAGTGTTTGGATAAGAAATGAACATATTCAAAGATCCAACGCATAATCCTCCGACACTTCCGCCATCTGCAATCCGACCCCACTACCAAAGACATTTTTCCCTCTCCACCCTTATCTGCTTTCCGGAGGGACCACTCTCTCTGTGACTCCCTTGTCCGCTCCACACTCCCCTCCAGCCCCACCACACCCGGCACTTTTCCCTGCAACCGCAGGAAGTGCTACACCTGCCCCCATACCTCCTCCCTCACCCCCATCCCAGGCCCCAAGAAGACTTTCCACATCAAGCAGATGTTCACCTGCACATCTGCCAATGTGATATACTGCATCCGCTGTACCCGTTGTGGCCTCCTCTACATCGGGGAAACCAAGCGGAGGCTCGGGGACCGCTTTGCAGAACACCTACGCTCGGTTCGCAATAAACAACTGCACCTCCCAGTCGCAAACCATTTCAACTCCCCCTCCCATTCCTCAGACGACATGTCCATCCTGGGCCTCCTGCAGTGCCACAACGATGCCACCCGAAGGTTGCAGGAACAGCAACTCATATTCCGCTTGGGAACCCTGCAGCCCAATGGTATCAATGTGGATTTCACAAGTTTCAAAATCTCCCCTCCCCCCACCGCATCCCCAAACCAGCCCAGCTCGTCCCCACCTCCCTAACCTGTTCTTCCTCCCACCTATCCCCTCCTCCCACCTCAAGCCCCACCCCCATCTCCTACCTACTAACCTCCTCCCCCCCCCTTGACCTGTCCGTCCTCCCTGGACTGACCTATCCCCTCCCTAACTCCCCACCTACACTCACCTTTACTGGCCCCATCCCCGCCTCTACGACCTGTCTGTTTCCTCTCCACCTATCTTCTCCTCTATCCATCTTCTATCCGCCTCCCCCTCTCTCCCTATTTATTTCAGAACCCCCTTCCCTTCCCCCATTTCTGATGAAGGGTCTAGGCCCGAAACGTCAGCCTTTCTGGTCCTATGATGCTGCTTGGCCTGCTGTGTTCATCCAGCTCTGCACCTTGTTGTCTCGGATTCTCCAGCATCTGCAGTTCCTACTATCTCATATTCAAAGATGTTAGTCGAGTAAACAGCATGCACAATATATCAAATACGTGTGTCCTGTGACCTGGTTAGGAATGAGTCATCAAGGACTGCTCACCTAGACCATCCATTAACTATTCTGAATTAAAATGGTTCATAAAATGTAAATCACTAATATTAAATTGGTAATGTGGAATGTGCTTTATTTTATAAGTTCACCTTGTTCTTGCTACTGCCATCTTGCAAATCCCTGCAGCAAGATTTTCAGAGGCCATTATGAGGCAGAAATACAAAAATATTGAAGAAACTCAGGAAGTCTACACAATCTGTGGTGAGACAAACAGAAGTGATGTTTGAGTCCAATATGACTGAGCTTCTCCAGCACTTGCTGTTTGTATTTCAGATCTCCAGCATCTGCAGTATGAGTTGTTATCCCAAATTCAAACACTCTGTGGCCTTTACCTGTTACCTGGACAATTAGATGTAGATTTTCTAGTTTTGGTGTGGTTTGTAATGGTGGCAGACTAAACACAGTCTTTAACAAACCAATTCCATTCTGCTTGCTCCTTTAAATGATCTGGCACTGCTCGCTGGCTGCACACATTAGCAACAGCAAATATCTGGCACTCCTTAAAATCACCCTGAACTGCTCAAAAACAACTAGACCTTTCAAAAAGCAAAAGGCATTGTGATTAGAAGAGGTGCTGAAAGTCAAGGTCAAAGTGAAACGGACTCAGAAGAGAATGAAAAAAGGAGAAATGAGAGAGAGAGCAGGGTCCAATTTTACAAATGCTCCACTGGAGATCTTCGTGGAGGAGGTGGAATTCAGACATAATGTGTGTCCTGTTACAATATGTGTAGGGTTATTTTTAATCCTTACTGTTGCCATATAATTGCATTCAGCAGGTGTCAAGTAAACAGAGACAATTAAGAGTGGACACTGGTTGTAACACAAATGGCACTGCTTGTGTGAAATCAACATGAACTGCTTGGTCTGTAAGCATATGGCAGACCTGTGCTATGAGTACCAGTCCCTGGGCCAATAAACCATATGGCATATTTTGTCCCCTAAGTCCATGCAGGCCTGGATGCTTTTTTGGAGCTATAGGAATTTATGAGCCCAATTTCTCACTCGTTAAGTTTTAAATAGCTCAGATATTAACTTAACCCGTAGAAACCTTTTGGAAGATTGGAGTTGGTGGGAACTAAAAATAACGTAATTAGATGTCCTACTCACTTGAATATTAAGAAATTAATACCCTGTATCAAAATGCATATTTAAGTTATGCCTTCCTTGGTGGAGATGAATATTTTCAATACTGTCTCATGAAACAAAACAAATTCACATCTATTCCGTGATTAGCTAACGATGATGAAAGCCACTGCAATAGAGGACAATCTGTGTTTGAGTGTCCGTGTGGCATTCACCTGTGGTGAGCATCATGTAATTTGGTTGTTACTCAATATACACTTGCGATACTTGATCAGTTATGAAACTGAAAAGCAAGTTTTTAAAAAATGACTGTGAATAATTAAAAGTCTATACAGATCTTAAGTTTTCCAATACAGTGCAAAGAGACAAGTATTAAAATAAGTCAAAGAAATCCTACAGTGTGGAAGCAGGCCATTTGGCCCATCGAGTCCACACCAACCCTCTGAAGAGCATCACACCCAGAACCCACTCCCCCATAACCCTATATTTCCCATGGCTAATCCACCTAGCCTGCACATCCTGGACACTATGAGCAATTTAGCATGGTCAATCCACCCAATCTGCATATCTTTGGACTGTGGGAGGAAACCAGAACACCCGGCGGAAATCCATGCAGACACAGGGAGAATGTACAAACTCCACACAGATAGTCACCTGAGGCTGGAATCAAACCCAGGTCCCTGGCACCGTGAGGCAGCAGTACTAACCACCACGTCACCCCAATTGATGAAGGTTACATTTCCTACACATCTTCTGGGTAAATATTACTTTAAATACTGAGCATGCCAAGACTTAATTGAACTCAATATATTTGTAACTAATGCTGCCAAGTCATTTGCAACAAAAGATTATTGTCAAGTCTAAGAAATTTATACACACAAAAGGTACTTTCTGCTGAGAGACAATGGAGAGTGATTAGCAACTCTGATTGATTAATTACCATTTAGTCCAGTGACTCATGGTTGGCTGTAGCACTTTAAATGCTTTTCCAGATAAATTCAGTTACATCATCCAGAGTGTGGGTTAATATTGCCAACATTAAACTGGAGACAACAAAGGCGAGGTTGGAGACAGGTAAAATAAGAAGGAGCTGCAATATCCAGGTCTCCTGGCAGTGGGGAGGATGCGGACAGGGATTGCCAGACCATTGGGCCACAATGACTGGGAGATAGCATGAGGCTGTGGTGCACCAGCTGGGTATCGAACTGGGGATGCCAGTCTATGCCAGTGGGTTTGGGTGGTCAGGCTGAGGAAGTTATGGGGAAGAGTAGTTGGTCCTTGAAAATGCCCCAAAAGCAGGATCCCAGACCCCACCCAAACCAGATTATGCTTAGAGTTTGGAAGATTTCTTTGGTGGTCTCCTTAAAGGATGGCATTCGCCCCCACTTTTGTCCTCACTCAGACCAAGGCAATACGCCTGCAAAGGCAACTGGCTACACAAGTGGTTCAATTAGGCTTCTGGTGGGTTGCAGTCCCCCAACTTTCCCAGCAGTGACAAAGTAGTATCACAAGAGTTGTTCTGGTACAGGAGGAGGCCATTTGGCCCATCATATCTGCACCAGTTCTTTTACCAGTGCCCATTTCCTGCTTTTTCCCATATTCTTGCACGCCATTACTATCCAAATAATCATCCAATGCACTCTTGAATGCGTCAATTGAACCAGTGTCCATTACATTTCCAGGCAGCACATTCTACACCATGACTACTTGCTGTGTGAAAAATGCTTTTTCTCACATCACCCATGCTTATTTGCGCATCACTTTAAAGCTATGGCCTCTTGTATTTTTTTTCTTTTATGAGCAGGAATACCTTCTCCCTTCTGTCCAGCCCACTCCTGATTTTGAAAACCTCTATTAAAATCTCATCACAGCCTTCTTCCCGACAAGGAAACCAGTGCCAAACTTTTTCAATCTATCCTCATGACTAAAAATCTTCATTCCGTGATGCACGTTACCATTTTCTTATTGAGTAGTATTGATGGCTAAAGCAATTGAAGCTTAATTAATCTGAGAATCCTCCTTCCACCACTTCTCTCTACTGTCAAGAGGAAAAATATAAATATATAATTAAATAAAAACAATTATTTGGGGATGGATGGAAAGATAATTCAAATTACTGACAGAAACAATGAATGAATCATTACATTTTCTGTTCTTTTATCATGTTGCAATATGATAATCATTTGTAATTTATAAGAAAGAAACTTTTTGGAACAGTACCTAATTTAGGAAGTGAGTAATTCATGTTAAAATATTGTTCAAAGTAGTCAAATATATTTTTCATTGTATCTGCTGCATAAACTGCTGTCTTATTCTGTTCAGGCTGGACATAAATTCTCAGCTGAAAGGCAAACATACAAAAAAGTAGATTTAAACAAAATATACAGTGTTCCTAAATTCAGTTGATTCTCTAAGAAAACCTTTGTGCCCTTATGTATTTCACCATCGATATGTTCCCTTCCCTAAAAGCAATCCAATCTCAGGCATGCAATGCGCTCCATTATGTTTTTTAAGTCCTTGCTTTTTCCCTTCCTCTCCTGAAGTTTATTTCCTGAACCGAGGCTTCCCAGGTGCCACTTGGTCACTCTTCAGAGAAACTGATAAACGAGTGTGTGAAAAAGATTGCTTGACTATAGGAACACCCCAGCTGAACCTGATATGGTCACCTTGAAACATACAAGCTCCTGTAATTTCCCCCATCTTTGAATAGGAACCAGAAGCAGCAAGCTTGGCTGGTGTCCAAACACTAATGTCAGTATCCCAGCTGCTAAGGCCAGCTAACTCAGAATTGTCAAAAGTTTGATCCAAATTCTTTGCTGTTATGTCTGGCTGAGCTCTGCATATTATTAAAGTTGCTAGGTAGAATCATAAAGTTAACACCTATGTTGGTGTCTCAGTGAGAATTCTGTTGAAACATCACAGATCTATTTATGGCACTGAACTGATTGGTGATTCTGACCAAGCAACACAGTGGGCACAATTTTGCCCTGTTGCACTGTTGTCCAGTTCACATTATTGCACAAAGTCAAAGTTACCCCCACTGTCATTGCAATTTGTTTCTGCCAGTTGCATTATCAATTACTCATTCTTCTTTTAAATACTTTGCAATGATTGCCACATGAAAGAAACATATCTTGGGAGCACGAGGTAAGTTTGTGGTTTTGCAACATCAAAACACTCAAACTTACTTCAGCATTAAAACGCTAGCTTGTTCTCAAGACATTAAACAACTCACTGGGACTCCTCTTGATGATATCCTTTCCTCATGCACAAACTGATGAACAGCAAAACAGACCAAATAGGTACTCATTGGAACAGATGTTTTAAATATAGTTTTTTTCTGGTCAGCACCCAAGGATTCCACTTTCTGGAAGACAAAGAAACTCAGTAAGTTGACTCTCATGTACCATAACATACCTGTACTTTGGTTTGTTTCAGTGCTTTTACATCTGTCACTGTACTAATACAATACATCCATATTTCTCCCAATATATAACAGATGTCACAGTTTAAAGTGTGAAAAGTATAAAAGACAGCGATAAAACTAATTATTTCTGACAGATCAAGACCAGAATTTTTAAAGCTTCCTTCCCCCATCCCAAGGACAGAATCTAAGGATTTACAATTTACTACCATTTTACAGAAACTTCCCATTTTTGTCACTTCCCAATAGACAGTATTTGAATAGTAGGCTTAAAAGAATGGGCTACATTAAATACAATACCATTTCAGCAAAGGGAGGCTGCAGATTCTAGATTATGTATAAACGGAAGCCAAGGAGAGCAGTGGCAAGAGAAAAGTACTGATGAAACATGCTTTCAATTTTCCTATAAACTTATTTGTTCATATAGTTCATCAATTGCTACATCAATTTAATTTTTGAATTGTCATACAATTACCTCAACTGGCATGTTTGAAAGTGCTTGATACATCACATTATGTATTAAAGAGATGGTGTATGTCGCTTTCTTGTTAGGTTCGTCAAAACATGGGAAAGATTTTCGTGCATCTGTTGGTTCATGGTCTGTAGCTGCAATGCTCCTGTTAGAAAAACAGCAATTTAAATGGATAATTAAGGAAAATCAGAAAAATTGAAAGCAAAACCACTCAGATAAATACTTTCTGAAAAGATTTTCCAATCAGGTGTACAATAAAATACGGGTAATGGGGCAAATAAAGAAGCAGCTTGCAGTAAAAAGGCAAAACCCTCCTCTTCTGAAATTTATCATTTTTTAAAAGGAAATTACTCTATTTTTGACTAACACCCACCAAATACATGCACATGGACAGAACTTTACACTCAATATCTGCCATCAAATAGCACAAGTGCATGATTTCTTGTTATTCATAGTTTAATTGACATATTTGATGATCTAACCGTAAATATCAGCAAGAAGATAAGGTACCTGTGATAACCAAAATAAAGTCCATGGGAATCACTAATCTCCCTGTGGAGCTCGAGGAGTATGAGTTCCTTTGGTAACAGGCAATGGCCCAACTGGAACTCATCACCTGAACCCTTTATAAAGCGGAGACAGTTTTTAGTCATTTGAAAAATCTTTTGCTGTGTTCTTGGCTGCACTTTAGCCCTACACTCCTGATCTTTGGGTGTCTGGTGAGACGAGTGTAGGCAGATCGATGGAAATCTCCTCTTGAAGTCTGGCCAGGTTGGCTATAAACAGGTCCAAGAAGCAGGCTGTGGAGGGTGTCGTCTCAGTCAACTGTCTGCCCCTCTTCCAAGGTTACATATGTGCCTGGGGCTCCTTGGAGAGACAGCACATGGTGTCCCTCAATGCTCTCACTGCCTTTAGAGAGAGGTGGGCACCACAGGGAATTCAGTGCTTTATTCCCCTCTCCAACGTCATTTTGATTTAGTCCCTTCCTGCTCTCCCTACATTCCCCTTCATTTTTGATGGATCACATGCCTATAATGGGCTTTGCTTGTAAATATCTAATTGGCCACATGGGTGTTTTACTGGTGGCGGTTAGTGTTTAAAAAAGAAAATTAAAAAAGAGAGTCACGGTGATTTTGGTCGTGGGAAAGTCACTCAGTTGCTGTATTAGCAATTTTGGGTAGATAAGAGACCCTGGATGGTGCCAATGCTAGGTTGGTTAAAGTAAATAGGAAATTGTAGCTTCAAATTCCAATGGTGCCTTTGCTTCACTTTAGGAAGGGCTCTTGTGGTGCAGTGGTAGTGCCCCTGCCTCTAAGCCAGGAGACGCAGGTTCAAGTAACAGCTACTCCAGAGATGTGTAATAATATCTCTAAACGAGTTGATTAGAAAATATGAAAAATCAGATCTGGGAAGGGCTTAGGTACAGTGGTAGCGCCCCTACTTCTGCACCACAAGGCCCAGGTTCAAGATCCATCTGATCCAGATGTGTGTAATAGCATCTTTGAACAGGTTAATCAAAGGGAAAAAAATATTAAGTAGACTCAGAGGGCTCTTGTGGTGAAGAGGCAATGTCCCTAACTGTAAGCCAGGTGGTCAAGGTTCAAGTCCTACCTGGTCCCGAGGTATGTAGTAACATCTCTAAACAGGTTGATCAGGAAATAAATAGTATAAGTCCTAGCCTGGGACTAGCTTATGTACAGCACGAATAGAGGCACTATTTTGGTGTTCAGAAACAAGTACCGTTCCTATTCAGTCGGGTTTCCTGAGTTATTATGGAGCCAACCTTCAGCATGAATTTTGTAACTTAAAGTGCATTAATGCAAATGTTTTTGCTGATAATAGTATTAAACCAGGAAACCTGGTTTCAAGTCCCACCTACCCACTCCAGAGGTGTGTAATAACATCTCTGAACATTGATTAGGAAAATATAGAATGCCAACTGATTAGGAAATTCCTCCCTTTGACTGACAATATTTTTGTGCTACTTACACAGGAGTTTAACAAGAAAGCTTTCTGTATCTCTCACTTCTCTCACAGTGAATGATGAGTGAATATATTTTTCACTGAATTTGTTTACTTTGAAGGAGTATTTGATTGTTTAAATTTTCAAACTCAAATTCTAAATGAAGCCTGAAAAAGCATTCACGACTGTAGACAGTCTTTTTTCAAAAGTCCAGTTGACCAATTACTCTGATGCCAAACACTGCACACAATTAACATGCCTGAAAACGCTGCAGTCATTTTCTTATACCTGGTTGTTCAGAAGCAATAACAAATGGTAAACAGGATACTATCATTGCAAGCAATCACTTTATTTGGCAGGAAACAACATTAGAGGCATTTATTTTGCTTGCTTCATTAATAATATGTAGTCCCTAAATCAGAGGAGAGCATGCAAAATTTGTTCCACAAGCCAATTTCTGCTTATCCCACCAGAATTAACTCTGGTCAGTCCTCTTTCATTATTAATTGCTAATGATGACAGAGGTTGTTGATGGACTTTTCTTGTGTCAACCCTGTTACTGCTACTTCCGAGGACCGTTGGGGATGGGTCTGGTATGACCCAGGATGAGACTGTAATAGCCCAGACATTATTCCACAGGGGCAGAGGGCTTTGTAGAGATAACTTCTCTTCATTTCCCACCCCTCACTTGCTGAGACTTCAGTCTTGACTGAACTACTCAGTGGCAATGAGACATTTTTCCAATTGTTGGTAAGAATCTGATGCTTTAACCACCAATACCAGTTGTTCTGATACTCCTGCCATTCCTTCCCTTCGGTGATGGCAGAGTCACTCTTTGTGACAGCAATCAGTTTCCTGCCTTCATCTCCCAGAAGAACCTGCTTTCCTTGTAGTCAGAACTTTTGATTCATTCAACTTGACTCATATGTCAGCTTCAAGTCAGACTGGCTACACATTTTGCACTGCCTCACCACCTACTGCACAAGAGCAAAGTCCACAAAACTAGTTTGGCATATAGGCTGACATTTCAAAGTTGCAGAATAAAAACCGAACAAACAGTGAATGCTGTAAATCAGGAATAAAAACAAAGTTGCTGGAAAAGCTCAGCAGGTCTGGGAGCATCTGTGAAGAAAAATCAGAGTTAACGTTTCAGGTCTGGTGAACAGAGGAAGGGTCACCGATCCCAAAACGTTAACTCTGATTTTTTCTTCACAGATGCTGCAAGACCTGCTGAGCTTTTCCAGCAATTTTGTTTTTACTTCAAAATTGCAGTTGAGTTGGTGGTTACTGCAGAAGAGTATCAGCAATCACTGAAATGTTATACTGCTTTTCATTGTTGATACCATATTGTTCCAAATAATCTGTCCGAATCCAAATCTAAACTACCCACCATACAGGTAGTGCGAACGTAACACTTCAGAGTCCAGATTAATTTTATAAAAACATCTGTAAAACATACATGCCAAGATAACCTCATAGAGGGAGTCAAATATGAATCTGCAATCCAAATACATTTGCAAAAGTTACTTAAGAAGAGATATTTGCAGCAAGAATAAATCAATTGTCATTTTCTTTTATGCATATTTAAATTGCTTTAAAACTGTCTGCTCTCCATTTATTGCTTGCAAGTCTCCCATGTTGCATTCTGTCACTAACCTACTGTTGCCAAGGAAAGAAATATGGAAGGAAGAGACAGAAAAAAGAAACCTATCCATAACATTTACTTTACAAAGATGAAAGATTTAATTGTGCATTCTGCTTGGAGTTATTGTGCAAACACCGGCATGATTTTGAAAGGCTACCATCATTTTGAAGCTCCATTAGAACAAATTATAACAAATCTCAGTCTCATTCAGGTTTCTGATGGATAAGAAAATGGGTAATAAACAGAATATTTTGAAAACTAATCCTTTAGACTGGAGTTGACTATTTAGAAATACTGATGGTAATACTAAAGATGTGCTTTTATAGAAAATGGTTTCATATTTTAAATTACTCAATCTCTCCATTTAAGTAGAAAATATCAACATTGAATCAGAATCCCTACGGTGTAGAAAGAGGCCATTCGGCCAATCGAGTCTGCACTTACCCTCCGAACAGCACCCACCTTAACCCCTACCCTATCTCCATAACCACGCATTTTACCACAGCTAACCCACATTGCCTGCACGTCCATGAAGATTACAGGGCAATTTAGCATGTCCAATCCACCTAACCTTCACATCTTTGGAATGTGGGAGGAGACACACACAGACACAGGGAGAATGTGCAAACTCCAATTAGACCATCACCTAAGGCTGGAATTGAACCCAGGTCCATGGCATTGAGAGGCAGCAGTGCTAAACACTGATATCATATTGCCAACGTAAGAAGGAAATGTTGCACCTGAATTGGAAAGGGACCAATATCATGGTGGCAAGATTTGCTAGTGCTGCTCAGGAGAATTTAAACCAGTGGTGGGGGTGGCTAAAGAGATAGTGAGAAAAGAGATAAGTCTGAGGGTGGTACAGTGCTTTAGAGGACCAAGTCAAATGGTCACGGCAGGCAAAAACAAGGCAGGGAACTAGGTAAGACTGACAAATTGAGCTGCATTATTTCAATGAAAGAGGTCTGACAGGTAAGGCAGATGAACTCAGGGCATAGTTGAGAACACAGGACTAGGACATCATAGCTATTAGAGAAACGTGGCTCAGGAATGGGCAGGACTGGCAGCTTAACGTTCCAGGGTTGAGATGCAAAAGAAAGGATAAAAAGGGGGGCAAGAAAGGAAGGGGAGTGGCGTTTTTGGTTACGGATAAATTTATGGCTGTACTTGGGGAGGATATTCCTGGAGAACATCCAGTAAAGTTATATGGTTGGAACTGAGAAATAAGAGAGAGTTGATCTATATTGGGATTGCACTGTAGGCCCCCCAATAGCCAGCAGGGAATTGAGAAGCAAATATATAAGGAGATCTCAGATACCTGTAAGAATAATATGGTTGCAAAGATAGGGGAATTTAACTTTCCAAACATAGACTGGGACTAAAATAGTATTAAGGGCTTGGATGGAGGGGAATTTGTTAAGTGTGTACAAGAAAATTTTCTTATTCAATATGTGGATGTACCTACTAGACAAAGAGTAAAACGTGACCTACTCTTGGGAAATAAGACAGGGCAGTGTCAGTGGGGGAGCATGTTGTG